ACCTGCCAGCAACCTCGCGGCGAGCTCCGCTGTCGACCTGCGGGGCTTCCTTCGCCAGAAGCAGCATGAGCCAAGGGAAGGACAAGACGCGCTCCGTGACTCTGCGACGGAAGTCGACCGCCACTCCCAGCACCAAGTGGCGAACAATCCCAGCGAACTCGCTGGCCAACATCCCCACTGAGACAGATTCGGCAAACTCTCTCCAATAAGCAGAGTCCAGCATGGCATCTAGATCGTCCTGAATGGCTTGAGCTTTTCCCCAAACCAGGTGTGCGAGAGATCCTGCGGCGGTCCGCTCGACGTACACATCATGTTTTTTGAGGATGTTCCGAAAGCGCCCCAGGGGGAGAGCTGCCTTATGCCTAACCTCCATCACGACCCAGAACAGTTCGTCATCGATCGCCTGCAATGCTGCGCTGCACCACTGGTTCATTTTGATTGTGTATGCTTCCTGCTCTTCATGCCCAATTTCATCAAGTATATATTCGAGGCTAGCTCCTAGAAAATCCTTGTTCCTCACAGCATGCTTCGCAGCGTCCCTTTTCCTCTTGTCGAACGCATCGTGCAGCACGGCCCTCAACTTGTCCCGGGGGGTCTCAAGCAGGACAGCCTGTGCGCGCAACGCGCCAGATCCAAGCGCGCTGGCCCCCCACTCGACCTTGCTCTACCCCAGGGCCCATGGGGGCCCATGGGGGCCCATGGGGGCCCCTGGGCCCCAGCACCGAGAAACCCTGGAAGTGGTTATTTGAAGCAGCTCGCCTCGCAGGCAGCCACGCTCCCCCACCTCGACGAATTGCAACTCGGTGGCAGCCTACCTGCATATTTGCTGGCAGCTCGAAGCCCGCCTGGTTCTGCAGAATATTTGAGTTGCCAGATCCTGAAGATGTCACTTGCGAACTCCCGCCAACAGTTCAAGAGTTTGGCCAGCGACGAATAATACTTCAAATTGGAAAGGGAATGGCATATCTCGTCGGCCCGTTTCAAAGTATCACCTCAGAGGGGGGGGGTCGACCCGAGGGCCGGGAGATGGCAGACCCCCAGATCCTCCAGAGTGCCCAGGGGGCTCAGCGGCTTAGCCTCTCAGCAGTTCCAACAGCACCCTCTACATGCGTGGGCCCACTAGGCCCCATTGCAATAGCAATTGCAATCATAGTGACAACGTTGAGCAATATACACCTAGAACAACTTACCGCTTAGAATCCTCCTCGTCGTCCTCATCCTCATCCTCCTGCTCTCCTCCTCTCCTCCTCCTCCTCCTCCTCCTCCTCCTCCTCCTCCTCCTCCTCATCATCATCATCCTCCTTCCTCCCCTATTCCTCCTCCCCCCCCCCCCCTCGTCGGCATCCTCAGCTCCTCTCCTCCCCTCCAGACTCCTCCCTCCTCCTCCTCCTCACCTCCTCCTCCTCTTGCTCCTCTCCTCCTCCTCTCCCTCCTCCTCCTCCTCCTCATCCTCCTCCTCCTCCTCCTCCTGCTCCTCCTCCTCCTCCTCCTCCTCCTCCTCCTCCTCCTCACCTCCTTCTCAGCCTCGGGCTCTGGAGGCTCTGGGGGCCCGGGGCGCCCCCGCCCTTGCGGCGTTCGCTGCTGCCCGTGTCGCCCTCAATCAAATGGGACTGGTGGTGCAGGCAATCTATGTCAAACCACAGCATGTTGTTTTCTGGTGCAATCTGATCCATGATGATGCGCCGCGACTTGGCCACGTCCCCCCCCGCGTCTGTGCAGCACAAATAGACCACCAGACGAGGTAAACTCTGTTGTTCTGGCGTCATGTGCTCATCCCACAACGGCATCCCAATCCCTTTCAACTGCTTGCAGATCAATGATAAGCATCCCTGTGCTGTTGAGCTCACAACGACCGCTAAGTCGGCCATGCGCTTCACCACGGGCACCCACTGGACAAACCCGTGCAGCTTCGCGAGGTCCTCTGGCGATCGCGGGCGCGGACAACGCAGGCGGGGGATGAAAAGTAATAGGAGGAGGAGGAGGAGGAGGAGGAGGAGGAGGAGGAGGAGGGGGATGGATGGATGGGGGGCAGGGGGAGGAGGAGGAGGAGGAAGGAAGAAGAAGAGGAAGAGAATGATAAAAATGAGGAGCAGGAGCAGGGTCCCGAGGAGGAAGCTGAGGAAGCGGAGGAGGAAGAGGAGAAAAGGAGGACGAGGGAGGAGGATGAGGAAACGAGGAGGATCAGGAGGAGGAGCAAAGAAGGAGGAGGCGGATGGGGCAGGCAGGAGGAGGAGGAAGAGCAGGGCGGAGAGGGGGAGGATGATAACAGGATAACAGAGAGCAGCATAGGATAGGGGGATAAGAGGGGGAGGAGCATGGGGAAGAGGAGGAGAGGAGGAGGAGGAGGAGGGGAGCAGGAGGAGGAGGAGGAGGAGGAGGAGGGGGCCGAGGACTGGAACAGATCTTCGCCTTAAGGCGAAAATCGGTTCCAGCCGCTTCCCCCCCCCCCCCCCCGCTCGCAACCTCCCCCATTCCATTCCATCCAAGACGTTAGCGGCTGGAACAGACTTTCGCCATATGGCGAACATTTGCTCCAGCCACTCGGGCGTTGAACAATGCGCCTCTCGTTCTCTTCCTCCCCCTATGGAAGAGAGGGAGAAAGGGGGGGGGGGCGTGGAGATCGTTGGCCCCCGAGGTCCCAATCGGGGCACTCGGATTCGGACGGGGCCTTGAAGTAGCACGAACTGGCTGCCAAAGCTTGCAACTTAGATCGTTGCCAAATCGAGCTGTTCGTCGCGTCGAGCCTAAAACAATGCATAGTGTAATCCGATGGTGTCGTGTCGACGATTGGCACAATGTATTCTGGCACAGGGGGCTCTGGCAGGGCATCTGGAACGTCCGCCATCGGCGCCATCAGCATCGGGGCGGCAATGGGCAGCGGCATAGCAATCGAACGGTAATCTGCTTCGTAATCGTCATACTCGCACTGCGAGGCCGCCTGCAGCGCAGCTTCGCACCTGATTTCCCACCGCGCCACAGTGGTGTGGGCCAGGTCGACCTCGAGAAGTCGGCCAAGCTTCTGCGCAGGTGTATTGCCGAGACTGGCCTTGAGCGCCAAGGACATGCCCCCCCAAGGGGTGAGGTGTGCACTGGGCGATGCTCTCAGAAGTTGTTTGTCTCTGTCTTCTAGCTGCTTGCGCGCCAGCTCACATTTGACTTGCCACCTCGATGCGCTTCGCTTCGCAACTTTGAGCTCCCTACTCAAGTCATTAATCTGCTCGCTCTTCTTTCTCACCTCATCTTTCAAGACAATCGCCAACTCAACAGCAGCAGCAGCAGCGTCGGCGGCAAGTGGGGCGCCGCCGCCAGGCGCCACGAGCTGGAGCTGCTGAGCGCCGCCACGGCGCAATCGGAGTCCTCCCCTCCCATAGGGCGCGGGGGAGGGGCCGGGGAGGGGGCCGATGGGGTGGGGGGCGGGCGCGCCAGCGGAGAGCGCGGGCAGCTAATCGCCCCCGTCGTCGTCGCCGTTCGCAACAAGGCCATCGGGCCATCGGCCATAAGGCCATAGGGCAACGAAATCTATAACATATCCACCTGCTCCCTGGCCAGACGCACCCTGAACTCAAGGACCCACTGGTAGTGCATGCCGCGCCTTCCCGGCCAAGCCAGGAGGGCTTACGCGCTGCTCTTGGGATCGCGATGGGCCTGGCCAGGGAGCAGTGGATTCGTTTAGATTTCGTCTCCCGAGCCCAAGGGGCCCCCTGCCCGGCCCCTGCCCCTCCAAGCGTCGCGGCAACAGCCGCCCACTCGTCCGCGAGCCCGGCGTCCCCGAAGAAGGAGTCCAGGGCCGAGATGCCATAGCCGCGCGCCTGGCCGGCGCATTGGGCACCAGAGGAAGGAGGAGGGAATGACAGAGAGAGAGAGAGCGAGAGAGAGGTAGAGAAAGTGAGACAGACACAGACAGACCGATGGACAGACTGACTGACTGATTGACTGAATGATTGCCTGATTGACAGACAGACAGACAGACAGACAGACAGACAGACAGACAGACAGACAGATAGACAGACGACAGACAGGAGGAGGAGGAGGAGGAGGAGGAGGAGAAGGACGAGGAGGACAAGGAGGAGGAGGAGGAGAAGGAGGAGGAGGAGGAGAAGGAGGAGGAGAAGGAGAAGGAGGAGGAGAAGGAGGAGGAGGAGGAGGAGGAGGAGGAGAAGGAGGAGGAGGATGGGGGAGGAGCACGAGGAGGAGGAAGACAAGGATGGGGGGGGGGAAGGATAAGGCGGAGGGGGAGCAGGGTGAAGAGGAGGAGGAGGGGGAGGCTGAGGAGGAGGAGGAGGAGAAGGAGGAGGAGCGGAGCGGAGCGGACGCCTCGGCAGCGGTACGAATCGGGTCAGAAAACTCGGTTCGCGTGTGGCTCGCCTTGAGCGGGTCGGGTTACTGCTGGCAGGTTTAAAGGCAGACACTCGAGGGAGCCTGTGGGACCCTCGTGACCGACGAGGCCTTGGGCCCACTTCGGCTCAGGGCCGAACCCCCTGTGTCTATACTCAAAACACTCAGTCCAGGGCGGTGGTTTATGACACTATGGCCCATCCCCACCGCACTTGGGTCGGAAGAAACGATATTTGCTTGTACCTAAGCTGGTCGTTTCTACTCGTCGCTGCGTTATGTATGGAACCACACCCACTCCCCCACTGCATCCCCCTCCCCCGCTCCAAAGCCGACCACTGCCCATTCGGCTGGGCACCACCGTATCTACACAGAGCTCCTGCGGCCTCGGAGGACGTCCGAGGCAGGCCTCTGGGCAACTCGGGCCTGAGGAGAGGAGGACCTACAGAGGAAGGGAGGACTCCTCGCAGGGCACGTGCACGCATACCCCTCCCCTCCCGATTCACCCTTGCCGCCCCGCCTTCAATGCATTCGAACGAGACCTCGACTTCGCAGTCTACCTCTAGCACTCCTCCCACTTCCTTCCCTCCTTCCCTACTCCCCTCTTCTGTCCCCCTCCCTTCTCCCCCCTCCCACCTTAATTATCTCTTTTCTTTTTGCTTTCGCCCTCACTCTCTTCCCCTCTCTCGCGTGCGCCGGGGGCGGCAGCGCGCCTCCTCGTCCCAGGTGTCAGCGAACCTCCGCAGGAACAGGCGCGGCCGCTTCTCCGCCTGGCCGCGGTGAAATGGCGGCGCCTTTCTCTCGCATTTCCCTCGCGCATCTCCCTGGCCATCGTCGCGGCCATCGTCGCTGCCCCTCTCACTCTTCACGCTGTCCCTCCCCGCGTGGCCCGCCTGAGAGACGTCCAGCACGTCGCCGAAGCTGAACGCGAGGGTGGCCAGGTCATCCGCGGTGAGGTACGCGGCGCCATTTGCCGCCCGGCGAACGTGTTTCTCACACACGAACGAGATCCGATCGCAGGGCATTGCCAGAGGTGCCCCTGGCCCTAGGTACACCCAGGAGTTTGGGGGGGGGCCCTCCGCGGCGCCCACAGCACCAAAAAGCCTCATCGAGGCCCAGTGGTTTCTGAAAGGGGCGACAAGCTGAGGACACACTTCGGCCAGGAACATCTTTGGCAATCCCCGATGGGTGGCCGACATCCTTAGAGAAGCTCCAGCCGATATAGCAAATACGCAAGCAGCAACAGCAAGGAGGAGCGGCAACTATTACAAAAACGAGTGAAACTTGCCGCGGTGCCTGAAAGGCGGCAGCGCGTGAGCCTTGTCTGGTAATCGCACGTGCGTGGGCGACGCAGACGGGGGCGAGAATAATTGGAGGCGGAAAATGGTGGATGATGACGGGGGAATAAACGAATACGGCGAGGAGGAAGAGGACAAGGAAGACTGCCCTGAAGGTTGCACGTTGGTGGCCCGAAACCGAATTCATCATTTTGATCACCCGCGTTCAAATGTAAAACGTTTCTGCGTGTCTTGTTTTCAATGTTTTTGCGTGGCTGATTTCGCGGAGGGCTTGCATTTCACATGGCTGCTGTTCCATTGTTAATGTTTATCAGCTTCGTTTTCTGTGTGTGCGCAGCGCTCTCGGTTTTCACTTCTCTTCAATATCCTTATTTTTCATGCTCAGGTTTTTCAATATGCATTCGCGGCGTCTGTGCATAATGACGACGTTTCGACTTCCTGGTTGGTGATCGTTGCGTTTTTTCGCTTTCCCGTTTTGGCTATCTGCGCTTGTTTCGCGATGCCGTTGTTTGATGGATGTGCAAAGCGTGCCTACGGAATATGATGTTTCACGGGGTGTGGGGATCTCCCTTGTTGGGTCTCTCAAACGGCCACTTTGCACATCCCTACCCCTTCCCTTTGATCCCTCCCCCGCCGGGAGGGGGGGGGGGGTGTCGACCCCCCCCCCGGGTCAGATACGACGCCCCCCCCTGGGACTCCTCTTCCCCTGGGCTCCAGCCAAGCCGACCTTGAGCAACCTCGTAATTGAGTCGAAGGGAAGCCCCTTCCCTTTGATCCCTCCCCCGCCGGGAGGGGGGGGGGGGTAGCGACCCCCCCCCCGGGTCAGATACGACGCCCCCCCCTGGGACTCCTCTTCCCCTGGGCTCCAGCCAAGCCGACCTTGAGCAACCTCGTAATCTCTTGCTGCGCATTGCGAACAGGGTCGGCGGCACCGGCCGTCAGGCCTTCGCAATAAGAACCACTTGTTGAAAACGGCCCGCCCGGAAACCGTGAAAGTCTTGCATTTGTTCAACCGAATGCGCGCGGTGCTAAGGCTATAACCAAATTTGGAAAAGGAGCCGCCCTCAATCTGCGAAGCTCTAGCCATTGTTTAAAACGAGTGTGCGCGGCGCTAAGGCGAGAGCCACATGTTGAAAATCACATGCAATTCAGATGAATGTGTGCGGCGCTAAGGCGAGAGCCACATTTTGAAAACCAACCGCCCTCTATCTGTGAAGCTGTTGTCAATGTTTAAGTTTCAGGGTCATAAATGGTGAGGAATGCCTCAGGCGAAACGAGCGGCCCGCCAGAAAAACTAGCCTCGGGGTGAGACGGGGAACAATTATGTATAAAGATAAGGAATAGAGGAGGCACCTCGTCCTCCTCCTCTTCCTCCTCCTGCTCATGCTCCTCCTCCTCCTCCTCCTCCTCCTCCTCCTCCTCCTCCTCCTCCTCCTCCTCCTCCTCCCCGTCGGAGGGCGAAGGGGTTGAGGACGCTGGGTAAGGTGGCGAAGGACTGTCAGCCACCCGTGCGGGCGGCCATCGCGGCTGCCGCGCCGACTCGTGATCCGTAGCGTGAACCCGCCATCGTGCCTCTGCCACGCGGCATCTTTTCCTGAGACCCAGGAGGGGGAACCCGTGCCTCTTATATGATCCAGGATGGCCATATGGACTGTGCTTGGGGCTCTCGTGGGGGCTCCGTGGGCCGTCTGGAAGGACCAGGAGGCCGGCACAATGCACCAAACTCGTATACGAACTCCCTGGCTTGGCAAGAACGTCCAAGGCGGCCCACGTTGCCCCCAATAGGCCTGAAAAGTGACCCTCGGTACCCCCAAGAGCGAATGTTTCAGAGTCTGGCTTTCGATGAGTAGCTCAACAACTTCCCAAGGCGGGCTACGCTAGGCGGGGACCCACATGGGACGCGTGAGTAGACCCCAGGGGCTTGGCCAGGAATCCGCCCTCCAATCCTTCCATGGCCCTCAGACCTCCAAGAGACCTTCTGGAAGCCGCCCCCGAAAGCCTCAGCGTTGATCTTCAGAAGCCCCGAGAGGGGCCCTCAGAGGCCCCCAAGCCGCCTACAAGTGGCCCAGAAGAGAAATTATTTACGATGAAAAGGGATGGAGGAGGAGGGGGAGGAGGGGGAGGAGGATGAGGGGTATGAGGAGTAGGAGCACCCCAAGGAGGCCAAGAAGACTTCCAATAAAATTCTCCAGGAACTCGGGCGGAAATGCGTTGCGGCCCTCCGCCGTCCACGCTGCGACCTTGCGGTGCTGCTACGGAGGCCGCTGCATGTTTCCTGAAGGGCGCTTGTGCCGTGGGGCTATTCCGAACCCTCCCGTGATGGCTTCTCGTCGTGAATAGAGCGCTGTGGTCTCCATCCTCCTCCTCCCCCTCCCCCTCCCCCTCCCCCTCCTCCTCCTCCTCCTCCTCCTCCTCCTCCTCCTCCTGCTCCCTGAGAACTGCGCAGTGGTCGCCATTGTCGTGGGCTCCTGGGAGGCACGACGCAGTGCAGGGCAGCGCGGATTTATTGTGCGAAGGAGCTGCCCAGCCCTCTTTGCCGCGAGCGGCCGCGAGCGCGTTGCAGAGCGCCCCGTGACTGTGTGCCTCCGCGCTGGTGACCCGTGCGTCTTGCCCTGTCGGTCGCCGTCGGCCGTTGGATCGGCGCTGGGACGTCCTCCCTGCCGCGCGGAACGCGCCAGGGGCTCCAGCGCAGATCCCAAGAGATCCGCGCCGCGCCGTGCGCTGACAGATGGTGTGTTTGTGTTTATGCAACTGTGTGTTCGTCGATCCTGGGGGGGGGGGCACCCCGTGTTGGTCTGCACGATCTGAGCGGCTGTGTCCTCGCTCTTTCTTTCCATTCGTGCCCCAATTATGCTTCGGCGCGCCCGCCTTTGGCCCGACCGGCGCCTGACCGCTCCGGCACCTCTGCGCCCGCTGACGTAATCAAGCATACATCGATCCTCCTCCACGAAAGAGCCTGACACTTGCAGGTGGTACAAGGCAGGACATGTACTCAAAGGCCCCCTCCTGCTCTTCGTCCTCCTCCTCCTCCTCCTCCTCCTCCTCCTCCTCGTCTCCTCACCGTCCTCCTCCCCCTCCTCTTCCTCCTCCTTCTCCTCTTCCTCGTCCTCCTTCTCCTCCTCCTCCTCCTCCTCCTCCTCCTCCTCCTCCTCCTCCCCCTTCTCCTCCCCCTCCTCCTCCACCTCCTCCTCCTCCCTCCCTCCTCCTCCTCTTCGTCCCCCTCTTCCTTCCCCTCCGCCTCCTGGTTGCGACAGTAGAGTAGTTGTAAGCTTTGCGGTGAACGGTATTCGTAAAAAGGACGAGCCCTCGTTCACTGCTCGAATGCAGATTTATGGATTGAGTTCCGGCAGGCCACAGATCACCATGTTGGGGAATTCGAAAATGTCAAAGTGAAGTTTCACCTAGCAGAATCAGAGATAGGCTCCAGGATCACGAGAGATCACTGGTTCGCGAACAACACCGCCGACTAGCTCGCCGACAGAGCAGCGGAGGAGGCTGGCCCGACCTATGCTCTAGTGTTTCAGGTTCGAGAGGCCGATCATTTGGCTTGGCGGGCCCAGAGGAGACTCTTGGTAGTTGGGCTGCAAGTGTCCAAGCGCTCGAAAGACGTTTAAGGGACCACTTTGAAAACAGATGTTGAGCCAGGGCCAGGCAGCAAGCCAAGGCCCAGGCGGAACTCAGAATAGCGACCCTTCGCGACATCTCTCACACTGTGGTCAAGAAGGAGAAGGGCTTTGAATGTACAGGGTGCTTAAGGACCTCGAGCGAAGCAGGTCTAGCAACTGTCTGTGCCACCAGTTGTTTTAAACGCCCGTTTAAAATCCACGAGAGCCCCAGGATTCAAATCTGTCGGGGCCTGTGGTTCTGTCGAGCTTGTGCGGCCCAAGGGGAACACACATACGAAAGCAGATAGACGCGGGCCAGAAGCCAAAGGGGATCAAGCAGTGGCCAGATGAGCTGAGGGCGTGATGGCTCGCCATGTTGGCCATTTCCCGACAACCTGGCCGACGACTGTCCGCTGGGTTCGTCGGCTGCGGCTGCCAGGAAACGGGAATGGCGGGTCTTCGAGCTCGGTCCCGACACCGCCCCTTTTAGTTCTGTTGTTCGGTGGGCCTTCGTCCAAGACGAAGGCCAGCCCGTGGAGTGGTCCACAGAAGAGGACTCTCAGGGATCAGGGGAGGGTGCTCTCGCCAGTGGATTCCTTTTAAGAGGCGTCGACGTCACCTTCGGTTGCGCCTCAGGTGGTAGCGCAGGAGCAGGAACAACCAGTAGGATGGAGGAGGAAGAGGAGGAGGAGGAGGAACAACCAGTAGCATGGAGGAGGAGGCGGCGGCACAATGAGGGGGCAAAGGTGAGGAGGAATGCGGAATGAAGAGGAGGAGCGAGGGTGAGAAGGAGGAACGAGGAGAAGGAGGAGGAAGAGGATGAGGAGGAGAAATGATGAGGAGGATGAGCAGCAGCAGCAAGAGCAGGAGGACAAAGAGGGGCACGAGGAAGACCCTCCGAAATGAAAACGCCCGGCTGCACGAGATACGGCTGGGTCGGCGAGTCGGGGCACTGGAGAGCTCGGGTGGCGCTGGTTTCCCAAAGCGTCGTGGAGTCTTGTTCCTCCTCCTCCTCCTCCACCTCCTCCTTCTCCTTCTCCTTCTCCTCCTCCTCCTCCTCCTCCTCCTCCTCCTCCTCCTCCCAGTCCTCCTCCTCCTCCTCCTCCTCCTCCTCCTCCTCCTCCTCCTCCTCCTCCTCCTCACCCCCCTCCCAGTCCTCCTCTTGGGCGGCACGATGCCGTAGCACGACTGGAACGGATGAACAACAAACGGGGGTGAAGAAACGTGTGTCTTTCAAGCTCGGCTGCGCGCCCCGCCCCCCGCACCTGCCGCCCTCCCTCCCTGCCTCCCTCTCCCCCTCGACCGCCTCTCTCTGCCGCTGGCTTTCTTCGCTAGGGAAAACTATTCCTTTCCAGATCTGCTTGGTCCCGCGGTGGTGGCAGCTTGTGGCAGCTTAGGGCAGCCCATACCTGGGAACGCGCCGGTGCCGATACCGGACGTCTCCCGGGGCGCGTTCTCACCAGGACTTCGAAGACTCCAGCGCCAGGGTCTCAGGGCATTTCGCGCCCAGCGAGAGGCAGAGAACAGCCAGACGCCTTGCGTCGTGTTTTTCTTTGTCCGCGACGCGAGCGCGCCTGGAGGCGACAGCCGTGGCGGCGAGGACCTCTCCGGGGCGAGCAGCGGCATCGATGCCCCTTCCTCCTCCCGACTCTGGGGGGGTCAGCCTCCTGCGGTCCTCGATCCCCCTCCGTTTTCTGTCACCCCCCGCTGCCGAGCGCCCGAGCTTCTTTGGCGTTCCCGAAACGGGTACGGGGAAAAAAGTCGAATGTTCAACCCCACGAATTATCCACGAAATGCCAGGTATCTCAGCAGCGCTGGAGAAAGCATCATCATCATCATCATCATCATCATCATCATCATCAGCATCATCATCAACATCATCATCATCCTCATCAACATCAGCATCAACATCATCATCATCATCAACATAAACATCCTCACCATCATCATCACGGAAAACAAGTAACGACTGCTCAACCCCAAGAGCTATCCAAATCCGACAGCGGCCGTTCAATGGGCAAGTGCCCCACTTGCTCAAATAGGCCAGCGCCGCGACGATACTGACTGCGGTCCCCGTTCAAAGCGCACAATGACTGCTGTCGGTCTTCGTCCTCAATCCGACCGTACAGTGAGGGCATTGTATAAGGAACCATTGGACGAGGAAACCAGGGTCTGGAAGCTGGTGGAACTCCAATCGTGGATTGACAATGGATATCACTGCCGCCCGCATCAGATAAGGACCCCCCCAGGGTTCTGAAGCCTCCTGGGCACATTCCTCAACGAATGCCCCCACCGTGCCGACGAACGGCGAGACCTGCTCTGGCTCCATGGCCCGCACCCTTGACGGGGAACTGGGACACACAAATAAATAGACACAAATAACCAGATTCCCCATATTTTCCCATATTTTCTGGGTTTCGGTCTTCCCCCCCACTTCCCATATTTTCAAATATGTTCTGGGGAATCGACGATTAATTGTGTCTGTGTGTCTTTTCCCCTCCTGAACCCTGCTTGCCGGGTCGCTCCGCACGGGGAAGCAGCGAGAAGAAATGGCCTCCGCGCCGCTGTACGCCGCGCGCGCCAGGGAGATGCGCTGCTTCTGACCGCCGGACAGGTTCACGCCGCGCTCCCCTGCGGAGGGGGGGCGGAGGAGGGAGGCGGGAAGAGGAGGAGGAGGAGGAGGAGGAGGGGAGCCCGGGCTCAGGCCGCTTCCAGACGGAGGCTGCGAGCCAGAGCCAGGCGGCCTTCGGCCGCTATCTTCCTTGCCCCCTCGCCCAGAGCAATGGATCCTCCTTGGCGTGCAGGTCGGCCCCGCCGCACAGCCCGCGCTCGGCGCGAGCAGGCTGCGCGTGCGCAGGCCCGGGCCGCACAGACGTTGCTGAAGAGTTTCGCCTCCCTGCACCACAGAGGCTGCCAGGCCACCCGGATTGGTGCAGCACTGGCCGCTGCTTTACGGCCTCTGGTTCCACCTGCTGCCCGTCACGCTGCACCAGCTGCAGAGCCTCCTCCAGTGCCGCCTGCTCCACCACCTCCTCCAGCGCCCATCGAGCCGCCCAAGGACGAGCAGCTGTGCACTCCTGCCGCCATCCTCGAGGAGAGCATTGGCGAGCACTCCACTCTCGGGCGCAGGCGCAGCACGCCTATCCCGAGCCGGGCGCACTCTGCAGGGGGAAGCTCGTGCCATTCCGCAGCGAGTTCTGTCGCCCCTCCAGCCGCGATGGAGCACGAGGTGCCCGCCGCCGCGACAGTTGAGGCGGAGCCACTGCAGGACAGCCAACGGACTGCCAAAGGAGCAGCGGACGCAGACCAGCAAGGACCCGCGGGGCAGGCGCTTCAGACGGGAAATCCTGCTCGCGTGCTGCTGGAAGGTCAGGCAGTGCGCATCGTGGACATCAAGGGCCGCACGCTCCTCAATGGCACCGAAGGCGTTTTGGGAACGTATGATACTGGCAGCGACCGTTGGGTCTTCAAATCTGGGTCGGAGGCCTTACGCATTCGCCCATGCAACCTAGAGTGCGTCGGCAAGAGCACCAAGCAGGTTCTCAGGCATGCTTTTCACAAGGCAGCGGAACGATTCCAGTACCGCAGCAAGTTCATGACGAATGACGTCTTCGACAAGCTTTACGACTTCGCAGCGAGTCAAGGGCAGCCGGGCGTTGGCATGTTCTTCAGAGATTTGTGCCAGCACGAGCAGATCTTCGACCAGTGGTACGCGCGCATGGGGCCAAGTACTTCCAGTACTTCCTGAGCCCCTTGCACCAGCTCTGAGGTTTAGCGAGTGTGCTGAGTGGACGTGCTTGCTGGATTCGGCTCGTTTTCCCTCGTCGCCTCGCTGGGCTCGGCTCGTTGCGCTTGGTGTCGGGTGTTCGGGGCTCTTCGTCGCCGTTTATTCTGCACTGTCCGCTTCTTTCTCAGCCCTGAGCCCTGGCGGGCCCGTGGCTCCGCCTGATGCCCTGAGCCCTCGCGGGCCCGTGGCGCAGGCTGCCCCTGCTCTGACAGGGTGTCGGGTCCCCGTTCCTGCCTCGGCTGGCTCCCGGGACCGTTCGCGTGCATTGCTCGCTCTCTGCGCTGTCTCTCTTCGGCCCTGTCCTGCGCCCTTTTTCCCTGCTCCTGATGGGTTTCGCCTCGCGCACATAATCCTGACAGCAAGTCCAAAAAGGAGGAGGGGGAGGCGGGAGAGGAGGAGGAGGAGGAGGACGAGGAGGAGGAGGAGGAGGAGGAAAAGGAGGAGGAGGAGGAGGGAGGGGAGGGGGAGGGGGAGGGGGAGAAGGAGGAGGAGGAGGAGGAGGAGGCGGGTTAGACTTCTTCGGCCTCGTGGGAGGCCCTCATCGCCCCGCCTGGATACGCCTCGAAATTCTTGTCAGAACGCGCCCCGGGAGAGGTCCATGGAGTACGCCCCCCCTCCGCCAAGAAGGATGGATAGAGAGGAGGAATAGGAGGAGGAGAAGGAGGAGGAGGAGGAAGAAGAGGAGATAGGAGGAATTTCAGGAGGAGGAATACCGACCTCAAACCAATCGACTTTCCTTTTTAATCGACTTGCGGTGATCAAGCTGGGCAATTTGGAGATGCACATATACGTACCTAGACGTAGCTTCACATAGGTCGGGGTACATTCAGAGAGTCTCCAGCGCGAGTCGAGGGACAACAGAGATCGTTCCGCCCTTGACGGGAACTTTGTGTAAGTTCCAACGTATGGCTGGGCAAACGGCTCTGATGAGCTTCTGCAAGCCGGGGCTATGAATTCGGACGAGCGAGCACGAACGGGGGGGGCGCAAGCGGCAATGCACAAAGGAGCGCTGGCTCGACCGTCTCCGAGCGCACTTGTAAAGCGGGTAACCCTCTGGGAGAGGGAGAGAGAGAGAGAGAGAGAGAGGAGATAATCTGGTATTTCTTGGGGGCCGTAACCCTGGTTATTCCGTGGGGGGGAGGGGGGCGGAGGTGACGGCCGAGAAGGGCCGAGAAGCTAAGCTTGTCGCCTTGGGCAGCACCGCGCATGCCCGCGCGCACAAGTACGGAACACCCCTTTTCGGACCTGCGCAGCCGACACTCTCCGGGGGGGAGGGGGGGAGGGGGGGGGGGACGGTGGGCGGACAAAAAGTGTCCACACTTGTCGCACCAAGACAACTCGTCGTCAAACCACGTCGGACGAATATGTATACCCCCCTTTCCCCCCACTCAGAGTTGGCGGGGTTAGGCGGCAGGCCGCGCGCCAGGGACAAAATGTGGACACTTCAACTTTGGGTTTTGGGGGGGAGGGGTGCGAGGCAAGTGCATCATGCTGTTGCGGTTGTCATCACGTCGCAGTGTCTTCCCGCCCTGGGTGTGGACACTTTTTGTCCGGGCGCCGTCCGGGTTAGATGTGTTTGGTGGTTTCATGGTGTTATCGTGCTTACATTTGTGCGTGCATTTAAGTGTGTGTTGGTGCGTGCTTATGCGTCCAGCACGACACGCAATTAGATGACGATGCGCGCGTATACGGAACCACGGGACACCCGCAGGACAACCGCGGGACAACCCATGGGACAACCCGCGGGACCACCACGGGACAACCCACGGGGCAGACCCTGGGACAACTGTGGGACTACCCACGGGACAGCCACGGGACAACCTACATGGCGCGCTTCCCCCCCCGCCGTCGCCTCCGACGGCGCGGAACTGGTATAACTGGGTAGAACTGGTCATAGAACTGGTCATAGAACTGGCCCATGAAAAATAGGGTCCGGCCTAGAACTGGTCGCATTGAGAAAATGAAGTATTGATATTCTTGAATTTGCTTTAATTGGACCGACCAGTTCTAGGCAGGACCTTATTTTCAATGGAACAGTTCTATGACCAGTTCTATGACCAGTTCTATCAGTTCTATCCAGTTCTATCCGACAACGACGACGACGAAGAAGCGGACGACGACGACGACGACGACGACGAGGACGACAACGACGACCACGACGACCACGACGACGACGACGACGACGACGACGACGACGACCGCGACGACGACGACCACGACGACGACCACCGCGACGACGACCACGATCACGACGACAACGAAGAAGCGGACGACGACGACGAGAACGACGACGACGACGACGACGACGACGACCGCGATGACGACGACCACGACAACGACGACGACGAAGAAACGGACGACGACGACGACGACGATGACGACAACGACGACCACGACGCACCTCCTCCGCACCTCTCCTCCCCCCTCTGTCCGTGTTCGGGCTTTCGCGCGAGACGCACTCACATTTATTGTAGTACCAATCAAGAGCATAAGAACCACGTCCGGGTAAGATGTGTTTGGTGGTTTCATGGTGTTATCGTGCTTACATGTGTGCGTGCATTTAAGTGTGTGTTTGCGTGCTTATGCGTCCAGCACGACACGCAATTAGATGACGATGCGCGCGTATACGGAACCACGGGACACCCGCAGGACAACCGCGGGACAACCCATGGGACAACCCGCGGGACCACCACGGGACAACCCACGGGGCAGACCCTGGGACAACTGTGGGACTACCCACGGGACAGCCACGGGACAACCTACATGGCGCGCTTCCCCCCCGCCGTCGCCTCCGACGGCGCGGAACTGGTATAACTGGGTAGAACTGGTCATAGAACTGGCCCATTAAAAAAGGGTCTGGCCTAGAACTGGTTGCATTTAGAAAATGAAGTATTGATATTCTTGAATTTTCTTTAATTGGACCGACCAGTTCTAGGCAGGACCTTATTTTCAATGGAACAGTTCTATGACCAGTTCTATGACCAGTTTCATCAGTTCTATCTAGTTCTATCCGAAAGCGACGACGACGAAGAAGCGGACGACGACGACGACGACAACGACGACCACGACGAACACGACGACCACGACGACCACGACGACGACGACGACGACGACGACGACCGCGACGACGACGACCACGACGACGACCACCGCGACGACGACCACGATCACGACGACAACGAAGAAGCGGACGACGACGACGAGAACGACCACGACGACGACGACGACGACGACGACGACCGCGATGACGACGACCACGACAACGACGACGACGAAGAAGCGGACGACGACGACGACGACGATGACGACAACGACGCACCTCCTCCGCACCTCTCCTCCCCCCTCTGTCCGTGCTCGGGCTTTCGCGCGAGACGCACTCACATTTATTGTAGCACCAATCAACAGCATAAGAACCACGGTGGGCGGACAAAAAGTGTCCACCCTTGTCGCACCAAGACAACTCGTCGTCAAATCACGTCCAACGAATATGTATACCCCCCTTTCCCCCAACTCAGAGTTGGCGGGGTCAGGCGGCAGGCCGCGCGCCAGGGACAAAATGTGGACACTTCAACTTTGGGTTTTGGGGGGGAGGGGTGCGAGGCAAGTGCATCATGCTGTTGCGGTTGTCATCACGTCGCAGTGTCTTCCCGCCCTGGGTGTGGACACTTTTTGTCCGGGCGCCGTCCGGGTTAGATGTGTTTGGTGGTTTCATGGTGTTATCGTGCTTACATGTGTGCGTGCATTTAAGTGTGTGTTGGTGCGTGCTTATGCGTCCAGCACGACACGCAATTAGATGACGATGCGCGCGTATACGGAACCACGGGACACCCGCAGGACAACCGCG